TTTGATATAAAATTAATTGCTTTCTTGTATACATATATCTTTAAAATATAATCAACAATGATACTTTGCTATTTAGGATAAACTTTTAAATTCTTTCGTATGCTTTCTATCAAATTAAGCGCATTTTAGAGATTCATTGAAAATCACCAAAGACACCTGAAAACGACGTGAACAGATCCGCAATCCGCACAGCGACGATTCGTTTGAGACAATTTCTGCTGTTGTGGCCCTTTGCCTGCGTCCGCGATGCCGTCGACAGGGAAGATTGGCACTGTGGTGGGGCTGAACCCAAATTCTGAGAGACATTGAACATTGTGCATTTTGCAAAGTCATCGCTGTTGACGGAAAACGAAGATTCTTTAAATTATATTTTCATACTCACTTTTCCCTTTGATTTCACTCCCTTTTCCTTGTATGCGAGACTTGCATACATAAAGATACCCTCCTCCCTCTCCCTTTCTTTCTTTCTTTTTCACTTTCTATCTCTCTCTCTTTCTCTCTCACTCACTCACTCATTCACTCACTCTCTCTCTCTCTCTCTCTCTCTCTCACTCTCTATCTCTCTCTCTCTCTCTCTCTCTCTCTCTCTCTCTCTCTCTCTCCCTCCCTCCCTCCCCCCCCCCCCCCTCTCTCTCTCTCTCTCTCTCTCTCTCTCTCTCTCTCTCTCTCTCTCTCTCTCTCTCTCGCTCGCTCGCTCGCTCTCTCTTTCACCCATTCTAATTGTCGGAAGAGGAGCGACTTCTGGGCAGTTTAAGAAAGATTTTCATGATTGTTGTTAAATAATCGTTCGGTTTTCAACACAACAATCTCAACAAGTCTTACAACGCAGGAATCTCACATAGGCGCAACAGATCGACAAGTTCATTTCAGTGACGAGATTACGCAAAGCTGGGCGCCCGACTACCATCCCTTCGCCGCCCATTCCCCGCCCCTTCGCCGCCCACTCCTCCCTCGGCGATACCGACTTCCGGTGTTCGGCTTTCACTCGCCACTCTCACTTTCGAAGTCATTAGCCCTGACCTCTGCTTCGTCGTTCAGCCTTGCGTAAGAGCGAGTCCTCAAGCTACTTTGTTTACTTCTGTAACGTGCGCTGGGTGAGGCTGAGCGCAGGCAGGTGAACGGCGAGTTTCCGCTGATGGTGAGGGCGATAACGTGCACGAAAGTCAAATCGGTCATCAGTCTGCCAGTTTGAATTGTACCTGTCACTATGCTCTTCGGGATGCGGTACTCCCATCGCAGCAGCAGTAAAGATAGCAATAATAAGAGTGATGAAAGAACATCAGTGACTATCGCGTTGCTGGCAATAAAAGTAATATGAACAGTAATGGCAGTATTGATGACTACTGTAATGATGATGATGATGTCGATGATAATTGCAGTTGTAGTAATAGTAGTAGTAGTAGTAGTAGTAGTAGTAGTAGTAGTAATGATAATAATAATAATAGTAATAATAATGATAATAGTAATAAAATATAATAATGATAATAACAATGATAATGATAACAAGGATAATGATAATAATGATACTGATAATAATGATAACGGTAATAATGATAAGGATAATAATGATAGTAATGATAATGATATTAAAAGTAATAATCCTAATAACAATGATGACAACAACAACAATAACAGTGAAAATAATAATAATAATAATGAGAAAAATAATGATAATAATCATTATTATTATGATGATAATAATAGTATAATAATAATAATGATAATAATAATAATCATCACAATAACAATAACAATGATGATAATAATAAAACAAAAAATAATGACAATAATAAATATGATAATAGTAATATAAGAAGAATAAATAATTCGACTGCTAATAAACAGTAATAACAATAACAGTGATAATAATCATAATCAAGCTAAGGAGTTATCATCATGAATATTATCATCATCGTTATTTGGAAGAAAGAATATTAATACCTAAGAGGTTTCTCTCTAACGGGCAATGTTAGTGATATCCTTGTGTCACTAACTTGGACGCCTCGATGTGGACCAACTGTGTAATTGTCCAACCGCCAGTTGAGGTAATTACTTTTTCTTCTCTCTCTCCCTCCCTCTCTCTCTCGCTCTCTCTTTCTCTCCCTCCCTCCCTCCCTCCCCCCCTCTCTCTCTCTCTCTCTCTCTCTCTCTCTCTCTCTCTCTCTCTCTCTCTCTCTCTCTCTCTCTCTCTCTCTCTCTCTCTCTCTCTCTCTCTCGCTTTCTCTCTCTCTCTCTCCCTCCCTCCCTCTCCCTCTCTCTCTCTCTCTCTCTCTCTCTCTCTCTCTCGCTCTCTCTCTCTCTCTCTCTCTCTCTCTCTCTCTCTCTCTCTCTCTCTCTCTCTCGCTCTCTCTCTCTCTCTCTCTCTCTCTCTCTCTCTCTCTCTCGCTCTCTCTCTCTCTCTCTCTCTCTCTCTCTCTCTCTCTCTCTCTCTCGCTCTCTCTCTCTCTCTCTCTCTCTCTCTCTCTCTCTCTCTCTCTCTCTCTCTCTCCATATGTATATATATACAGATACACACACACACACACACACACATATACATATATATAGGTATATATATAATTATTTGTATATATATATATATATATATATATATATATATATATATATATCAGTCTATTTATATATGTGTGTGTGTGTGTGTGTGTGTGTGTGTGTGTGTGTGTGTGTGTGTGTGTGTGTGTGTGTGTACATGCATATACAGCATATACATACACGCATATACTGAGTCTGATATTGATATCACCCTTTCACATCCATACCGGAGTTGCAGCATTATTACATAATGCTGCAACTAACGTGCAATCACACTTTTTTTTTTACTTCAGTCAAGTTCTAATGACATCATAAATGTCATGAAAATGCGAATAAACACCTGCAAACCATTGTGTAACAGGAAATTGTTGAACAGATGAAACTGATTTGTAAACCAAGGGGGTCGACCTCTTCACGAACTGCTCACATCGACGGGGGGGAACAGCGTATAATGTCGTCATTAGCAATTATAAGAAAATACTAACTCTGAAATAGCAATTCACAAAATTCAATAAGTAAGATCAAACGCCAGCACACGTGTCCCATTTACTTCGAACACACAACTCGATAACCGACCTGGCAGGTTAATGAGTGGACAGCAGTTGGCCAGCTTCCTCCTGCAGCAGACAGCCGGCGAGGGCAGGTTGAGCCAGTGGAACAGCACGGGAGAAGCCATTGCCCCTTGAAGTAAGAGCGCCCCCACGAGCAAGGTCAGCGTGTACGCCATCTTCCTCTGAAACGAACGAGAGTGAAAGGAAAGCTCCCGGCGGGTCGTGGTGCGTCGTGGGTGCTGCAGGGGAGGGGGGGGACGCTTCGTGGCTATTTGTGTAAGAGAGGAGTGAAGGAGAAGGAGAGAGAGGGAGAGAGAGAGAGAGAGAGAGAGAGAGAGAGAGAGAGAGAGAGAGAGAGAGAGAGAGAGAGAGAGAGAGAGGGGGGGGGGAGAGGGAGGGAGGGAGGGCGGGAGAGAGAAAGAGAGAGAGAAAAAAAGAAAGAGAGAAAGAGAGAGAGAGAGAGAGAGAGAGAGAGAGAGAGAGAGAGAGAGAGAGAGAGAGAGAGAGAGAGAGAGAGAGAGAGAAGAGAGAGAGAGAGAGAGAGAGAGAGAGAGAGAGAGAGAGAGAGAGAGAGAGAGAGAGAGAGAGAGAGAGAGAGAGAGAGAGAGAGAGAGAGAGAGAGAGAGAGTGTGTGTGTGTGAGAGAGAGAGAGAGAGAGAGAGAGAGAGAGAGAGAGAGAGAGAGAGAGAGAGAGAGAGAAAGAGAGAGAGAGAAAGAGAGAGAGAGAGAGAGAGAGAGAGAGAGAGAGAGAGAAAGAGAGAGAGAGAGAGAGAGAGAGAGAGAGAGAGAGAGAGAGAGAGAGAGAGAGAGAGTGAATGAATGAGTGAGTGAGTGAGTGAGTGAGAGAGAGAGAGAGAGAGAGAGAGAGAGAGAGAGAGAGAGAGAGAGAGAGAGGTAAAAAGGGAGGGAGAGAAAGCTGTCAAATAAAATATTAACATCACATATACATTGTTTGTGTATCACCAGAAATATATGTGTAGTATGTATTCAACAGTTTTTTTTTTTTTTTTTTTTTACTTTTGACATTTTCTTTTTCTTCTTCTGCTTCAAAAGAGAGAGAGAGGGGGGGAGAGAGAGACAGAGAAAGAAAGAAAAAGAAAGAAAAAGAGAAAGAGAGAAAGAGAAAGAAAAAGAGAAAGAGAGAAAGAGATAGATAGATAGATAGAGACAGACATTGTGTGTGTGTGTGTGTGTGTGTGTGTGTGAGAGAGAGAGAGAGAGAGAGAGAGAGAGAGAGAGAGAGAGAGAGAGAGAGAGAGAGAGAGAGAGAGAGAGAAAGAGAAAGAAAGAAAGAAAGAAAGAAAGAGAAAGAAAGAAAGAAAGAAAGAGAGAGAAAGAGATAGATAGATAGAGACAGACAGACAGACAATGAGAGAGAGAGAGAGAGAGAGAGAGAGAGAGAGAGAGAGAGAGAGAGAGAGAGAGAGAGAGAGAGAGAGAGAGAGAGAGAGAGAGAGAGTGAGTGAGTGTACCCGTCGTGTGATTAGCACATTGTCTTCGGAAAACTGAAGGAACGCCATGTAACATTAAATAGTCGTGAAACAGTTTACCTCGGTTTACCGGTTTTCGTCATAGCTGTAGTGTATCTTAGGTCGTCGTCAACTTGGAGAAAAGTGAAGCACTTAATGTAGTTGCTTATTCTTTCTATTTTATCTCCAAAAACGTTAACTGATCAATATCCCGGTTATGGAACTGTGCAATAAAAACTAAGAAGCATCAAAACACAACACTGGTGCATACTAACACACGTGTTTTTTTCAGAAAGCACAAGCCAACTGTGTCCAGTTCCACTCCCTTATTGTCACACGGTATCGGACCCTGATGCATATGATCGCTCTGCTAAATGTTACGTGAATGTCGGCGAGGAACAAGAGGCAATCTGCACGCACGGCACCAAACGCTTAAAACAGGCTCACA